AACCCCAGTCCATGAAGTATAGGAAGAAGTTCCTAAAATAATTGCTCTGCAAGCAACAACATGTTCTCTGATGAAATTCATGACTCCATAGCTTACCACAAGCTGACCTCAAAATTCTATACGACCATGTGAACATGATCTAGGATTGCTGCTTGACCACTAAGTGTAGAGCTTTTGTTGAACCACCCTGTTCCATAATCCAGATATATCTTATTTCCTGAGCTTCCAATCTGGATCTTTGCCTAGCATTCGATTACCTGATAACAAAATCACAGTTAATAATTAATAGCCAAAGGACTTATTTTCATTAAATTGATTAACTACCAGGGCTCAACACCAACGGTAGCCAACTAGCCACAGACTAGTAGAAATTCAGTTTTGGCTAGTGGTTTTCAATTTCCACAGGCCAGTTTGGCAAGTAAACAAACTGAAATTGTTGTAACATCTAAAACCATCTAAGATGTCACTTGCCACTTGGTTCGTAAGTTGAAAAGTTAGTGTCGAGCCCTGACTACCACTAATTGTATCACTGGCTTCCCCCATGGGTAATATAAAGCAAATCCTATTTTCTGATTGGCAAAATGAGTGGGCAAGGTGGGCTTGTGATTTCCCAATTTGATCCTGAGCGAGAAATTGCAGTTACAAACACTTACAAAGTTTGAAATTTTTGGACAATGACAAAAAAAAAAAAGAAAACCAACCAATTTCATGCCTTCAATGTGCTACAAACACAGTAAACTGTTGGCTTCCTTTCTCAGCACTTAAGAAATATACAAGTTGTTTAAAGGAAACATCTATTTGCTGTAAGATAAATTTCTTATTGACCATGCTTGTTCAGTCATAATCGTCGGATATTAGCCTCATTCCTCTAGTGCGTTTTTGTGGACCTCACCTTTTCATTATTGATAAACTCTGTCTCCACCTAGAAGAGTGAAACCCTTTTCCTATAAAATAAATCCTTTATTGACCATTATTGACCATGCTTGCTTGGCCATCATAGCTAGATACAGCCTCATTCTTTTCAGAATTTCTATGGACCTTGAACTCAATATCCAGCTGTCTCAACACCTCGTCATGACAAACACGTGTTGATCACCCATGGTTACAGTATTTATTCATGTTTATAATTCATGTTTATTCATTTTTCCAATGTTCGGGAAGCATCATCGTGCCCATATAAATAGCAAGTTTGATGCCCTTGAAACTTGTTGATCTATTTGTAAGCTTTGGCACAAGCAAGACTGATAGGTAAGTTGCATTTCTTCTATCTTGTTAAGGTTTTTTTCTTTGATTTGACATAATCAAGGAGAAAATCAGGCTTCATGCTTACAGAGCAAATGTGACCTCTCACAGGAAAACGTTCCGAACGGTCAGCCATTTTAAACTGTTAGCTGTTCACCAGCCGTTCATCGGCCGTTCGACTGGATTGGCATGCTGTTTGAACGCCTCAAACTATCCGTTCTTGAATATTCATCATCCGTTCGAGCTATCCGTTTAAGAAACTTCATCATCCGTTCGAACACCTCTAGCTATCCATTCTTGAATATTCATAATCCGTTTGAACGCCTCCAGCTATCTGTTCTTCAATATTCATCATCCGTTCCAATGGTTCGACCTATCTGCTGGGGAAAATTCATCAGCCGTTCACTTGGCACTTTGCCAACGATGGTAGGAACATTTTTGGTTTGATTGCAATCCATATCTTCTATCGTTGAATTCTCCATTTTGTGATTGTGTAAAATGAAAGTTGTTAGCAGTTACCAAGGCAAGACATTTTTGATGGAGTGACAAGGAAGCTGGGATTATGGAAATTTAAACCCGAATTGAAGTTGAGAAGTATTGAATTGTATGCTTTTCGCGTGCAAGTTCCTTGGTTGTACCTTATATTAATTAGTCGAATTCAATAATAAAAATATTAATCATAATCCACTTGAATGCGCCGAAAGCGAAGTCAAGTTATTCAAACGATTGAGTTTCGACTCGTTTCAAGTGATCTTTTCACAGATTGTGTCAAATACCTCGTATAACTTAACACCGCATCACCCACGCTTTCATGAAATAATCCTTTGCTTTAGCTCAAGACGAGAGCTTGGGATGCCTGNCATTAATTGCCTCTCTGGTGTCGGTGATTTTGCGACCCCTAAACTATTCCAAACACCTTGTTAGTGGCTGTGATAGCACTACAGAGTTGAATCACAATTAAGGTATCTCCAATCAGCTTTCACTAATTCTCAAGAGCAAACCCAAAAACATATTTTCAAAGATCACAGCCAACAAGAATGTAATTGACACCATGAAGCAATAGACTTCAAACACCTAAAGTGCATTTTTAAGCATCTATAAAAGTAGGATTTATCTCAAGGTTTATCTAAAGCTTGTCAGTTGAGCCAATCATGTGCTTGCACAAATATCATTATTACCCAGATATTTTGATGTTTGCGCAAAAGTTTTGCCCCTGAGAAGTATTCATTTATCCTATCAAGCAGGAACCAAGTCTGAAATCTATTGTGCGATATCACAGACATCACAGTCCCCTGGTCGATCGTTGCGCAACGTGTATATCATTATAGTATTTTAACACAACTCGTTCCGCTGGTTTAAAAACAAACAAAACATACGAAGCCTTATGAGACGACGCGAACGTGCGTTTGCTATGGCCCTCCGAAAAATTAAAAAGCAACGAGGACGAGAGCTATTTGAGTTTGATCAGCCATGGCGATATCTAAATTTATGGAAAAGAAGAGTCAATTATAATGTACTTTGCGAAAGAAAAGCGATCATGTGCGTTGTGATGACGGCTCTGACATGACAGGCTTTCCTGTCTCCTTTTACAGCTTGCTAAATCGCGATTTTTAATAGCCCTAGCTTAAATCATGATTAATCAAACTTAATCACGACTGCGATCTCCAGCGCGACCACAGCTAGTGACACGCGGAAAGCGACGACTCGCTTCAAATTGCTTTTCGTCGCTACAAGCGTTAATAATCGCCGGTCGAACTCGCTGAACACGCAAGGTTGAAAGAGGGTCTTCAAGTTACGCCATGAAGCGTGACTCGTAGTTTGATGATTAAAGTTTAACGACAGAGATTTTCATAATCCTAGATCGGAAAAATAAAAGGGACGAATAGAATTCTTCGTTTACACCAAATATGTTCTGTTGGTAGTTACCTTCTCTCCAAACTCCTGTGAACGTACGACGCAACTTTAACGGCAGCCATATTGGACGGGAAGTAAGGAACGTTGCGCCAAAAGATCGTTTCCACTTCCCACGCGGTTAGGCGATCTTAGACTGATGGCAAAACGAGTTACCAAAGCTCGAAATGTAAATTCGCCACCGCAATCATGAAATAAGTGGTTACCCTTTTTTTGTACCCAGGAATTCAAAATAACCATCTTAACATGAATTAAATAGAAACTGGAAATCTGTCATATACGAAAAACAAACACTTACACGCACTTGAGACAAGAACAAAGGAAGTGACCTTATCAACAAGAGATCATTTCAAATATACCCAGTTGCTGCTTCCGTTATGTTTCCTTTCAGTGGTTTTGTGCCAAAGATAACAATTGAACAGTCTTGAAATTATTCTATTCACCATTGTTATTTTTCATCATAAGCATATTGTAGGCCAAAAAAAAAAACGATGATATGTCTGCATTTCTAATATTTAGAGATTCAGACCGTGACAGCCTGGGGCTATTCACTCCTAATCAGCATAGTAGCTTATAGACTGTCTAAAGTGGGAAAGCAGTTTACAGAGTATATGGATCCTAAACTTAGCAATAGCCTGACAGCCTATCGAAAGAACAATGGATGTGAAACCACATTACTGAGACTAGTTGAGAAATGGAAGCTGGATCTAGATAGTAGAAAAGTTGTAGGAGTATTATCCTCTGACATGAGTAAGGCATTTGACTCTGTTAGTCCACCACTGCTCATTAAGAAAATGGAATCATACAGC